TATACTCTGTGAGGCTTTGAGACACCTCAACAATATAAGACACTATATCAAATGCAAGGATAATTATTATCATTATTGTTATTTAGCTCTGCTTGGAAATCTACTATTGCTGTGCAATTGATTCTTCAAAAGTCCCATGAAATCCACTGTAAACATTTTTCTGCCAATCATAAAAATGTCTGCATTTTTAACAGCTAAAACGCTGTGCCACTGAACAAAGCTTGCAATAGAGTATCACACAGTAAATGTCATGAATCGTGGTAATGCTCAAAAGGAAGTCTATTTTGCTGAACAATGCCATGACCTTCACTGTCTAACACAGACCAAAGATTAAATATAGGGATTTCATGTGCCGGAAATCAATATAAAATACACATTCTAAGGAAACATCTTGCACAGAAATGACCAAGATATTTGAGGAGTGCAGAAATTGCCCTGTGCACACAAATTTGATAGAAAATGCACTTTGAACACAGTTATTTTATACCAGTACTCAGAATACTGCAAAACAAATAGAATCAGCGTATTTCTCAGTTCTATTGCCTTAACTATCCACACACTTGCAATTTTCTTTCATTGAGCTGCATGATATGTCGGTTAAATATAATGGACACCCTTTGAATTTTAGTCTTTTCTACTTCAGTATGAAGCCCTTCTTCAGTAATGAGTCTGTCAGGAAATAGCATACATACAAGAAAGGTTCCAGATTTGATACTTAGTTTGGGTGACAGCAGAGGGAATACAGCCTAAGTACCCTGAGTCTGAGAATACGTTCCACCTGGATTGCTGCTGTGGCTCTTGCTTGCTATCCAGCAACCACATGAGCTCTTTTGCATATTTTGGCATTGGGTGAGGAACTGTATGAGCTGAAATCCCCCGCGACACCTCCCTCTGGCAGCACAAATCATTTGTTCAACTTTGAGGAAGAAGAAAAAAATCCCACTTCTCCCACTTCATGTTGCTGCGAAATAGGATATTTGTCATCAGGCTGATGTGTGTGAATAGGAATTTGGGGTTTATTTTAGTAATTCCTCAACCACCGAAGAAAGCACCACCCAAATAACATTGACGTAATGTTTCCAGATCTGCAAAAAGGATTTCCCCTCCTCCCCTTCCCCCCCAAAAAAAACACACTTTAATTTCACGGAATTCAAAAGTCTGCAGATGCTGAAAATCTGAAATAAAAACAGATCGCTGGAAACACTCAGCAGGTTAGGCAGTATCTATGGAGAAAGTGAGTCAACCTTTTGGGTCCACAACCCATGGTCAGAACTCCATGACCCTTCTTGACCTGCTGAGTGTTCCCAGCGATCTCAGTTTTTGTTTTAACTTCACAGGTTTGAAAAAGGTAAAAAAAAACAGCTGAAAAATGGATGCTGGAGATGAGGGTGGGGAGAAGAGATCCAACAGATCCATTCTGGCTATGCCTTTCCGCTCTAAAATTAAGGCTATCTTTGCTTGTTCTTTTCCAACAATATTTCAACTCATGTGTTCCTCCCCCATGCAACGTTTTAGATAAACAGGAAACTGGCCCCCTTTGATCTATTCTCTCCGTATCTTCCATATGGTATTAAACAAAGCTTCAAATGGGTTTTCAGACGTTACCTCCCTCGCAACCTTCAACCCTGTGAATATGATCATCGATGAATCATTCAAATATTATTCATTAATGATAAATCATTTGTAACACAATAATCCTTGCATTTAATAACATTTTATCACGTTATTGAGTTGCCTAAAAGCGCTTCACAGGATGTAATGTAAAGTGGTTTGACTGTATTTTGTGGGAGAAACACAGCAGTCAATTTGCGCACAGAAATGTTCCAGACAGCCATGGATAGAATGACTAATTTTATTTGGGTGATTGTTGGCCAGGACAATGGGAGAAACCCCTTTCATTTTCGAATAGTGCCATGGGATCTTCAATGTCCACCTGAACAGGGAGATGAGACCTCATCTCATGCAAAGGACAGCACCTCGAACAATGCAACACACCCCCAGGGCTGCATTGGAGTCAGTTCAGATTATGTAATTTCATGTTCCGACGTGATGTTTGAATCCCACAACCTTTTGACTCAGAGGTGAGAGTGCCAACATTGAGCCATGCTGACACATAATGAGGAAGAAAGAATTGTGCGTCATGTTACTGTGAACAGGAAATTACTAAGGCTTGCACTCCAGAGATTTACCTATTGAAGGAGGGACAGCAAATACTTCACAATGCCTTATCACAAAAAAAGGGCACTTTCAGGTGGTTTTAAAGTATATTAAGTATCTTGCATACAGATTCTGAGTTGGGACAAAGGAAAGAATGTAATAAAATTTGAAGTTAATAATGAACCTATTGCAAGATTGTATTTGCAAGTCTTGTTTAGTTATTTTATTATTAATTCTAGAATAATCCTTACATTTGTGAAAGGATGTCTCAAACTGCTTCAAAGGATATTATCATAAAAATAATAATCCTTGCATTTGATATAGCGCCGTATCATGTTGAGACGTCTTCACAGAATAAACTGTAAAGTGTAATGAATGTGTTTTGTGGGCACATGTAGGAGCCCACAGCAGAATCGCACAAACAGTGAATTTTATTGAGGAGATTTTTGCCCAGGATATAGAAAAGAACTCTTTTCGAATAGTGGCATGGGATCTTTAACATGCACCTGAACAAGCAGACAGGGCCTCAGTTTGACATCTTATCTGAAGGACTGGACGGTGCACAGTCCCAGCACTACTTTAGAATATCACCTTATATGAGTTCCAAGTCCTCAAGTAGGCCTTAACCACATCCTCTGACTCAGAGGCAAGATTGGTACCAACTGAGCCAGGCTGACATACCAAATGACAGCAGGCTGATGCCAGAAATAATATTAAGCTAACATAACAAGCTGCATCAGCACTATTCCTATACAACATATGACGTTTGCTTTTTTTACTCACATTTTTCCACGAAAATGTTTCATTGACGTTGCAACCTGCATTTCAACTTCACTTAGTGAAAAAGTAGAAATGGAAAGGATGGCAGTTAGATGTCCTCAAACACGATTAGATATGTGCTCACATTTGAGTTTGGAATTTGACTGGGCCCAATTCCATAGCAATAGAAAGTGTAACCACAACTCCCTGTTCACATTGCTCCATACAACATGTGCAATAGAACAGCATTAAATGCAAATACTGATTTATTGATTTCACAAGTACCAGACAGTGTGAGATCAGGACATCAAAACAAAATCCTGGGGTTGTTTATGGCTTCCGAAACAATAAATCTAAGCTAAAACCTCAAACACAAATGGAATGTGAAAGTCAAGTCAACAGAAACTTCTCATGTTACAGCAAATGGTAAGCACTAAGCAGCAAAAATAGTGCATTTCTTTACACAAATTCATTTTCTCTGACAAATTTCTAAATAGATGAAAGCTAAGTACAAGGCATTTGAAATTTGCTGATTTTATACTGTGCTAAAAACTGCACTAAGATTTAAATACTGTACCTGATAAATGAAAAATGGTCAAACTGAAATATTACATTTTATAAATGCCCCCTTCAAGTACCTAAGATTTATAACACTAGATCAACTATGAAAGTTTGTCAGACCAGACGCACACATTTTCTCCTTTGGATGACAACCAAAATGTGTCATTGTAGTGAAGCCTAAAGCGCAATAGGAAGGAATTGGGTCTGCTTGTTTGTCATAGCCCCGGAGGAAACTACTGCTTCCAGATAATTGTTCATTTTTTTAAAAAAAGCATCAAGGTCAGACAGAAGCCTTTTCCCACTAGAAAACTAATTTAGTAGTTTCCAGAGTTCTAAATCAGAAACAGTAAAATCATACTTTCACTTAAATGTGCATTATTAGCGTTACTTAGATATTTCATAAGTTCACACTTTAAAAATGTTCAAACTAATTTTAATTATCTAATTTACAATCACAAAGTAAGGAGTAGATTAAAATTCAGACTGTGGATCAGCAATCTATTTTAGTAATCATGGATGAAAGAACCCCTCTTGAGAGGATAGTTATCAATGCATTTTATCCTTTTTAACTGCTTCATTTTCCATTCTTTCAATTGAAAAATTATGTCTGTAGATATTTGTTTCAAATCCAATGTTTTGCTTTGGTCCAGGGCAATTCAAACGTCTCTCAGAAAACCCAAATCTGTTTTGCCATAAGGACCTAGCAGATAGTCAAGTAAAGCTCGAAACACAAGTCTTAATAATCTTAAGACGTTTCCATTTACATTCTGATCTGAAGTCAGAAGGCAGTATTTTACTGAAGATGTTTTATTTACTTACCTTGTGCAAAGTCTTCCTCCCACTGATCTTAGTTCTATCTCCACAGGGTCATGGATGTCATCCAACAGGTCCCATATCAGCCAGCTGCTTTTCTGTATTATGCTGTATATAAGTCTCATTTCTGAACCACAACCTTACTTGTTAGACTGAAAGAGGTTAAAAATGAATAACATAATACACATTTTTAACAGTTCCAAGTATTACTGCATGAAAAAGAAACGTATGAGAAGTGTGCTGAAAATATTGCACATCTTTTCACTCATCATGAAATTCAAATGTTTTGCATTTGAATAGAAGTTAGTCTTTTTAGTTTGTTGTGATAAAAGCCACATTCTTCTTGACAGATGGAGAAAGTGGAACAGGACTCAACTGATGTATTCCATTTTGTTTGTGGATGTGATGTACATTTTATTAAAAATCAGGTAGTATCAAAATAGGACACAACTGTGAAAGAATAAATTTCTAAAATATGACTATTATCGTCATTTGTGGTTATTTGTTGTTATTGCTGGTTCTTGACTTTAGCCAGGTCAGCATATATACAGATTAAGTTCAATTCCTCATTTTGCTCTGCAACAATTCATTGTAAAGTGCTTTCCTTTACATACGATTATTTCTCTATACAAACAAATTTTCAAAACTGCTAAAATGTTTGTTTCACAGCTTACATAGCATGTAGATGAATAAGTTGAACTAACAAAGACTTCCTGAGAAATTGTTTATTGCAATTGCAACAAGTTACAACATGTACAATAGAAAGATTTTCAAGCATAGAAGATTATACTTTGACACATTAAGTTTAACGCTCACAAATTACAAATCAATGGTGTGAACTTCGTCAAATATCCACAGAAAACAGCATAACCTCCAACAGGGATTACTGTTTTTAATTTTTACAAAGGAAAAATGGGTTAGAGATTTCCACATCAACAGTAGAAATACCTAGAAAGAGGTACATTTCCTTTGCAGATGTATTATTTGAAGCTGTGCTTAAAGCTTCTTGAAATGGTCAGCAGTTATAATGGAATACTCAAAAGCATAAAAGATTAACCTTGATAAGAAGCTAATAAAAGGTCTATATATTATATATTCCCATATACCAAATATTTTACTATATTATTCGCATTTGTGACAGATAAATTTGTCTGATGAGAAGCCACTTAAAGTGTTCGTAACCCTCACCTATTACTTCAGAAAACATTGATTGGTTTCAATATTTTGCAATATAGAATAAGGCAACTGTCATATATACACTGAAAATCAATATCTTGAGCATAGAAATATTAGCTCTTAATAATATAAACTAAAAAGTTTCTGCTACCAATTATTCCTTCCGTTTATTAATGTGCATAAATAATATTGCATATAATGTAGAACAGGAACCCAGTTCCAATATTTCCCTTGGAATTCAAGATCTCCCCTTAAAATATAGATCAACAAAATGAATACAAATTGTATCAAATACAGCATATAATGTTACATAGTCATAAGCTGAGTAATTTTGTTTCGTAACTAAAAGTAACTAGCTTGAAACCCCATGAAGCCCGTCTCTATTAAATGCACATTTAAGTTGAAAGCTGAAAGAATCCAATATTTGGACAAATCAATAAACCAGTTTTAATCCTATTTGATTGAACAATGTGCACAATTTCAACAGTGTGCAACACAATCCATTTTCACTGCAGGGAGCTGCATTATTATACAATGAGATTTTTTTTTGAATAGCTTGATTTTCAAATTGCAACTACAATCTGCATATTAATTCAGACACCTTTCAAGTACCTAATAGATCACAACCTGGTTTGCTGCTGGCACTGCATCATACCCGTTCATGGTATACGAGCACTATAAACTGCTGTCAACACTGGCCCTACAGCTCTGCAGTACAACCAAGCTGCCCTAAAGTGGCCTGTCCCTGATTACCATTCTACGCGGGGAAAATAGTACATTCAGCTGAACATTAAGACATTACAGTACTTCCAATTTGCTCCTTACAACCCAATGCAAAGGACCCTATAACTATAATTCTAGTACTTTGGGAAATTAATTATCCTGTTTTCATTCCGCTATGGAGCTAAGTGCAAGAAAGTGTTTTTCTGTAATAGTTTATAAACCCTCCTTCAAAATAACAAAGTGCATACTCGTCAGTGTCCCAATTGAGAGCTACTGCATAAATTTACCAGGAAGTCATTTACCTACAAACACATCTGCACCACTTTTACGTAGTGATGAAGTCCAACATAAAACGCTTGCCCAAGTACCCTCACTTATAACTATTGTTACATTCCAGTTTTAGAATACCCCTGAAATCCCATGACAATTTTTGTAGGAATCATCAAATCGCAATCGTTTGGAAACAATACTCGATTCATCAGTGATATTTTCTTTATCCACATGTTTGCATGCTCCGAATCGGATAGCGTTTTTCTCTTCTAAAGGCTTGGCGTGTTGTTCTCCTGATTGTGAAATATAGGGCATAATTTCAGGGACAGGTTCACTCATGTCTTCAGCTTGCAGCCACAGATGGGAAAGACAGACTTCTGCACTTGATCGTTCCCTTCAAAATGAAAGAAAAACTTTATTGTCCAATAACATACATTTGTTTTTAAAGGAAGGATGGGCATTTGGTAACAGCTAAACACGACCACTGTGTTCTCAGCACAATAGCAACAACGATTAAACTGTTTCAGTCAACAGACCCCAATTCATGTTTGTTGAAGCTCAACAAATTCCCAAAGACAGGTTTGAATGAAAAGTGCCCTTTGACCTCATTCTTTGAGATTACCAACCCTCCTGTTTTCTCATCACAGCATCGACCTGCCTCTTAAACACATGAGCCTCAACCATTTCCAGCAGTTGTTTTCCCTTTGTCTAAAGGCTCAAGTTGCAATTGTCAATTCAACACCTAAACAGTGAATAGAATGTTCATTTAGATTTGAATCACTGCATCCTGCACTTGCTATATTGACTTTGTAACACATGCGTTGGACCCAAATCCTGATGGCAGATAAAGCACTTTAACTATAAGTGGTACAGATGGCATTTAGCTTCTCATTCCATCTCTAGTCCAGAGCCCCTCCAGTGAGAAACTTTTCTGATTAGCAACTGGCATCAAAATGATTGGGATACTCTATCAGATCTACAAATAGCTGGTATACAAATTGCCATAACCGGGATTTGCTGCATGTACAAAACAGGAGGCTGATCCGCTCATAGTAGATTAGAATTATTTGATAGAATTGTCCCAAGATGGACATGTTTGCCAACATACTGATGCATATTTCTCCACTATTACTCAAGAATCAGGGACAGAACAATCTGCTTTCAGCTTGAATATTCCTTTTAAATCACTCATTCATGTCTGTTTCACTTTGTGGTTTCTTTTTCATTCTACTCTTCTTGAATTTTTTTTTAATATCCCGTTTTACTCTTTTTTCCTAACGTTCTGCTGAGAAAAACTGAACTAATTTTGTCTCAGTTGAACTCTAGATCTTGTGGGGAAATAGTGAAGTTTTTTTTTAAACAGATCACCACTGCAACACAACTTGTAATTTTGTCAACTTGGCAGCATTTAAGAACAATGCTACCAATGTAGGCAGCTACTTAATGACATTGGTCAAATAGCACATAAATAGGAGATTTAATTAAATGAAATAAGAGAAAATCCTGGAATACTCAGTATGTCTATCAGCATATGAACAAAAACGTAGGTTAACCTTTTAGGAGTGACCCTTCAAAAACTACTGCCAAACCAACTTGCTTTTCCTTCTTCACGTCAATAAAGCTAATTGAATGTCAATAGATATGTATTGGACATTGCTATGAGCTCCGTATCAAAGATTTAGCACCAAGTGTAATATCAATATCCAAAAGGATTACTGCCAGTGTTTTATTGCTCTTATGGGGCAAGTTGCGTGTACTGAAATTTGCACTTTCATGCCAAAGTCTTCAATTAACCCCTTCCTTAGGCATTTATGAGAGTTGTAATCCAAGGAGTAGACAAAAGGTTATTTTCCCCTAATCAGACCACTCCTTCTGACAGAATAGGTCAAATTACACTGTCATGACCAATTCAACTTCCCCAAAGTGAACAAATAACCATAATTTTAAATTGTTTATTTGAACACTAAAGTTAAATTGAAGAAAAAAAACACGATATTCTATATACTACAAATCTATATCAATCAACTTTGACAAGTTGGACTTTACAATTGATATTCCCAAGGTCCCAAACGGAACGAGAACCATAATCTCATGTAAACTCACCTTTGACTATTGGTGGAACTCTATTGCATATATCCATTACTCTGAGAGATTTAGGTTTGTCATTTTACCTCTCTCTTAGTTTGCTAATTTTATTCTGCTGTCCATGAGATTTTGTGATCACAGTTTAAGACAAATAATTTGCTTTTATTTACAACTCTCATAACTTTGCCAATATGTAGGATTTTTAAAAATATATATTTAAATATTTAAACTGAAGTCCCATCTACCTGTTATAAAGGGTCCCATGGCACTATTCAAAAAGAGCAGTTTCACTCAGTGTCCAGGCCAGCATTCCACTAGACAAAATTGGTCAATTACTTTATTGCTGTTTGCGGGACATTGCAGTGTGCAAAATGGCTGCAGCATTTGCCTACAAATTACACGTCACTGCACTTTACAGTAAAATGCCTGTTGAACACTGAGATTATTACTATTATTGAAGTCCATTTAGCCAATACTAAAGTAAAAAAAAACTACTATTAATTTCCATGCCACTCAGTGAATTCCAATGCCAAATACAAGCCTAGCAAATGCCCTCAAAATGATTACAAAAAACTTTCCATACATGTCTAACCTTGCTTCTCTGCCAAAGGTGTGTATACTCACTCAGGATTTTTGACTAGAAGTTGTTCAATAAATTCAATGGCAGTCTTGGAGATCCCATCAAATACTTCATCCGAATAATCAACGTTAACTTGTGAGATGTTGAGAAAAGTTTCTTGTTTATCTTCACCCTGAAACGGAGACTCTCCTGTGAGCAGCATGTAGGTCAAAACTCCAATACTCCTGTAAAACAATGTGAGGCAACAAAGGGTTAAATAAAGCTGTAACACAAATTTATACATGTTCTGTCATATTTTAGTGTAAAAAGTATTAACAGTATTATACAGCTGTCAACATACCACATGTCTGTTGCTGTGGAGATTGGTTCATAATTCAAGATTTCAGGAGCTGCACGGAAAAAAATAAAACAAAGTTAAAATATTAATCTGACTGGAAAAAGTTCTATATAAGTCAGCAAATAGTAGTTAGTTAATCACTTCACATTTAGAATGTACAGCCTAAAACAATAGTTATTTTAAAAAATTAAGTTTGTTAATGACTTAGATGTGAAACATTCACATCTTCATTGTAAAACACACATTTATAATACTCTAATATATGACATCTAGATCTTGGCCACCATTCCCATACAACAGTTTTTCAGTAATTCAAGACAAACATCTTTAGCTCCTTGTGGTTGTATATTGGAGAATAATAGCATCGAGGCAACTTTTTTTGTTGGCCAGCACATGAGGAAACCCATCGCTCTGCTTAATCCAAACTAGACAGAGGGTCACAAAAACATGCCGCCTACGCAGGAGCAACTGTGGGATGATGAAATATTAACACATGTACAACAATTTTACTGAATGAATTCTGCATGTACTTCAAGTGCTCAAGACCTCTATAAATAGGCTCCATTTTACTCAGATACTAAAAAAACTGAAAGGGTCAAAAATAGTGCTTGGATAAATTTACTTAGAACATTGTGGTCATATTATGCAATTTCCATATACAATGCTTCAAAAATTGCAGAACATAACTGGTTTCAAAGGTGGCCTCATTCGCATTCAGATTGATCTAATTGATGTGAAAGTTTGCTGTAGTATTTTTAGTCACAAAGGACACGCATTGTAACTCTTAGAAGTCTCTGCACAATATACCAGAGGATTTTGGGTTTATTTTGTAGGAAAAGGGTCAGATCTTTTGCTATATGTAAATCAATGTTAAAGTATACTAGTCAAGGTTTAGAAACAAACATGAAAAAAATACATTTCGCCAACAGACTAGAAAGGACACTGACTCAATGAATGTATGCTGGAACTAGTGCATGCACTGCCAAGCAATTGTATGCACAGGCAGTAAGTCAGGAATGCTTTATTCAAACAGCTTCTGCCATAAGTGATTACAAATCGTATCAATTTTTCAGTTTCCTGGAATGTTAACTAGCAGTTGGTGCAAGAAAGCTACTGATCCTGAGGCTTCGGGACCACATCACTCCCACCCTCTCTCGCCTCCACTGGCTCCCCATCCCCCAGAGGATCGAATTCAAGATCCTCATCCTCACCTGCAAGGCCATTCACGGCCTTGCTCCCTCCTACCTCTCCGACTTACTATCCCCCTACCTATCTGCCCGTACCCTCTGTTCCTCTGGCTCCGGTCTGCTCCACATCCCCCGCCCCAACCGCCCTACCATCGGTGGCCGGGCCTTCAGCCTCTCAGCCGCTAGGCTCTGGAACTCTATCCCCCAGTGCCTTTGCCTTGCCTCCTCCCTTTCCTCCTTCAAGGCCGGTCTAAAGACCTTTCTCTTTGACCGAGCCTTCAGCTCCCCTCTCGACTCTCTACCCCCTCCTCGCTCCCTCCCTTCCCTCCCCTCACCCTGACCATTTCCCCCTTGCTCGGGTCCTGACCCAACTGTACAGCACCTTGGGACGTCCTCCCGACATGAAAGGCGCTCAATAAATGGAATCTTGTTCTTGTTGTTGATCCTGCAGCTTCACATTTCAAAAGCTAGATCTAGCTAGTTCAAAAGCCTTTCTTCTGCAATGCAGTGCTCCTCCGTACTGCACCAAATGTCAGCCTCAAATATGATCTGATACTACAATATTCTGATGCAGAGGTAATAATAATAATAAATAATCCTGGCATTCGATATATAGGGCCTTTACGATCAGGAGGTCATCTAAAATCATTTCACAGGATTTACTGTAAACTGTAACTGTGTATTTTGTCAGCAAAGTAAGACCCAATTTGCTATACATTTACAGCTTGTCTTGTTAGAAAGCAAACTTAAATGTCTCATAATAGAATTCTCGTTTTTATGAAAGTTCCTCTTACCGACATACTCTGGCGTTCCTGTGATTTCCCTTAACTCACCAGCACTGCCAACTCTTCTGGACAAGCCAAAGTCAACTATCTTTATATCGCCCAGAGGAGGTGAGCTGGATAATAAAATATTCTGAGGCTACAAAAGAAAGTAGATAAAGTTCAATACACAACAGCTTGGTTAAAGAATTCTTACTTTACGTAATAGATTATAGTTCCGCGTTTCAAATTTAAAAATCATCAGCAAGGGTCCAACTTACAAAACAATAATTATCCACACTGTGAGCATATTTGTTATTTTTGTGCATTGTGCAATGTTTCAACTCTTGCAGAGATGTATCACCAGAACAGTGTTTCATATTCAGCCTCATACTTCCCAACTTAAGCTTCACTGCCATGCAGAAAGAAAATTATCCCAGGGCTAACCTAGCAGGCAGCTGAAGCAGCTCACTTACTTTATTTACCAAGGCATTCTTCCAAGGATTTCAAATAACAATATCAGAGCCTACAATCTGACCACTTGAAAGTTACACTCGACATGTAGTTTGCCCCATCTCTGTCCCACCGCCAAAACACACACACCCTCTTTTAACAAAAACTAGGACCTTCAATTACAACCGCTGTAATAAATCTCTGCTACGGGCTATTATGAGCAGTGGATAACCACTTCCTTATACTGGGGATGGAAAAACAAAATAAATGATAGGTTTGTCATCCTAGGATTTTCTTAACTTTCCACAATTATTGGTAGAGTTTCCTCAGAGGAAGGGAGGGGATACAGTACAGTTGTTCTCTTAAGAAAAGGTGTTTGCATACATGGGTAGCAGCCTTTGGGTAGCTGCAATGGTTTCAAAGTCCTTTACAAAAAATCATATTTCAATGTAATAGAACAGTATTTTAATAAAATAGCAAACACAAAATACTAAAGTCTTCCATGTGAACCAAATAAACAGTTCACAGCAGTTTTAGATCACACTTGTTACAAAATACAAGTGCATGTTAATAAATCTCTCAAAAAGATAACAAAAAATAAATATCCTATGAAGGTTTCAAAACAAATTATACATGAGCCATATTTCCAGGTGCAAAACACAAAACAAGTCAACTCAAGGAGTTTTTTTTTTACAATTTGTGTTCACTTTAAAGCACACTCCAGTCCCCCTTTACATTTGGGTGCTTGTTTAAAAAGTCTCTGAATTGTTTTAATAAATCACATTATGTTAAGAAAGTTGTCACTGTCCCACTAAGAAGGTAATTAGCAATACTCTAAAAATCAACCAAAAGATCATACCTTTAAATCCAGGTGTACAATATTGTTTTGGTGTAGGAAGTTTACACCTTCAATGATCTGTCTAACGAGTCTGATTACATCATTTTCTGATGAAGTTTCTTCTGGGTCAGCCACACAAAGGCTAAAGAGTTCTCCACCAGCAGCACTAGAAGAGAGAAATATGTAAAAGCAAAACAGTATAATTTACATAGAATTACATAGACTGTACAGTACCAAAACAGGCCATTCAGCCCAACTGGCCCATTCCAAATGTTTATACTCCACAGGCACCTCCATTGATCCTAATCATTTCTCTTTCTCCTCCTCCATTCCCCCCTTATTCATTGCTCTTGTTAGACTACTTTATAAAGTCAAAATGAAACTTCATTCTGGGCAATCAGATCTGGATAACTCATTTTCCCTCTCCGACAACCCATTTATAACTAAAATTCTAATTTGGTCAAAGCAGCAACTCATACTCATCTGTGGGTTAGTGAAACTCATGCTTGGCAAGCTCAACATATTAAATTTATGTTTCCATAAGATCTCACATTTCTCTTTGTCAAAGGAAATTAGAGCACTTGGCTGCAAGAGTTTTCCATCAAGTAGGCTATAAAATAAATTCCAGATAAATGACTATGAAAGGCAATGCGTTTTAATTGAATGAGGGATATAGTTCCATACTGCAGAAAAGAACAAATATAATGATATGTTTCAGCAAAAACTAGCAGTTGGTATGACTACTATGTCGATTTTAACTAACACAATTCAGTGTGGGAACACTTGATAGTTAAAAATCAATGTCACATGCCTGCCAATTTTTAGTTTCCCCTCCTATTGAATCTACAGCTTTAACTTAATGCAGAAACTATCGTTCATGTACTAAGAGGATCAACTTCTACACCAGTGAGGAAACAGTCAGTATACATATACAATAAACCTCATATAAGTTGTATCAGATGGGATCATATATTTAACATGACTTATGCAAAGCATGAATTATGTCAAACTTGCATAGAATATAAACTCTTGAACAGGAGCTGGGCAAATGCATGACTTCACCGATTATACGATTTTACAGATCAGCCTTATGCGCGTTTTACTGTAGTTCACCTAGATTAGGCCTGCTATCTATTTGGGTTAAACAGTTAAAATTTGCCTAATTATAAAGACTATTTTGCTCTAACCATATCTTCTAACAAATCGTTCTTCAGTTCACTGCTAATCTTATTTTTTAAAACTGTTAATTTTGCTGCTTCTTTTCAAAGTTTTTGCTAGATTTGCTTTGATGCAACAAAGAAAATGAATTTGGAAAGCAAAATGCAACCGCGGATCTTGTAGCACTACACATTCAATTTCCCCCATAGAGGCGTTTTCATTTGAATGGTCAAATGCTCTCTGCCCTCTGGGCAAGTAACTGATCTGATGTGATTCAGCTGAAAGGCTACAACAGTTGTGCACCCAAAATGTTTCAACCAATATGGTTCTTGAAATACTCTTACCTAGTTAGAAAGAAGTTTTCTTAACAATCAACCTGTCAATCTTATCTTAAGCATCTCTGAAATGGTTTTGTACTGTTAACTTTATTTTGGCTAAGAATACAAAGGACTTGTGGAGCAAAAATATTAAAACTTAGATAATTCAGGCAACAACTAATAAACAGCTATAATTTAACAAGGTAAGAGAATGAATACATTTACAGTACAACACCAGCTGGGCATCTAAGCTAAGGGAGGGAATACAATGGTATGGGGAGGGGAAACATGACCAAAAGTGCGGTCGAAGAGGTACATCTTCAGACGGCCCTTGAACCAGGCGAGGGAAAGAGGGAATAAGTTTTAATCTAACTCTCATTTAAAGGGAATTTGAACATTCTGCATGTTAAACACATGGGAGAAATGCACTAGTTTCACTCTATTTATGTAGCATTTTAGACATGCTGATTTTGGCAAAATGCTCAATATAGGTTCAATAAATATTAATGTTTATACAGCAATACCTAAGGTTTGAAATTGCATTTATCAATGGAGGAAAAATATTCAAATATAGATGAATTTTGATAAGTTAGCATTAAGCATATGTAATCACCAATCAGCTGGATTATTTGTGGTTAGGTGTTAAAAGGCCTCCATAGTACTTTTCAAACACAACACAACCGAGTACATACAGGTTCTTTTAAGATAGTGCCAAGTCAGTCCCATTATTTAGAAAGCTACTGAGCAAAACACAGAACTGTAATTAATTTGAACAATATCTCTTTCAAAAAGCCAGACCACCTAAATACAAATACATAAACTGGTACCATAAAAACATTTACAACAAAAATCAACTTTTGATAATACGCCCAATTAAACTGTAAAATAGAATGGCACGCTTTCCTTCTCTTGATTTTTATGCAAGTGTGATGTGCAGGACCAATTGCATCAGTATTTATTCATCCATAAGGCTTAATGCTCATGGAAATAATGTGAACCAAAGGACTTGGAAATTATCCAGTTGTGGTGAAGTTGTTCAAGAAGTCCAAATTTAAAAAAAATGAAAGGAGGATTTAAATACAACACTTACTCGTAGAGGGACTAGCACAGTTCTCCATTACCCCTGCAATGTGGGCTCACATCCAGCCAAGATAGTAGAATAAAAAGTACAACTTAGAATCAATACAATATAAAATTGAGTTTTACTACAGTCAATTCCAAATTAATTTATAAAGTTTTGTCATATTATTAGATAGTTTCAATTGTCTCTTTAATAACAAAAAAATTAACTGGCATGTAACACCCTTTAAAGTGGTCTCTGGCAACCCCTGCATCCAGTTGTACGACATTTATGCCAGTCTGAGGCATGCTGCATGCCTATCCTCTTAGTGCCAGCAGTCAGCCAAACAAATTAAGAAAATATCAAATGGGACACTTATCTACAAAGAATATACAGCACGGAACCAGGCCACTCGGTCTAAACAGTGAGTGCCAGTGATTATACTCCGGAGTCTAAACCCTATCTGAATGCCGTATAGAAAATTCACATAAAAATAAACAACAATTTTTATTATCAAATAGTCGGGTTCCTTTTTTTTGAATCACAACCACATCACAGCATTAAAAAGGTGCGACATTCATCCTATAAGAAAAATAATAATCCTTGCATTTGACATCTTATCGCATCATCAAAATGTCTCAAAATCTCTTCAAAGGGTTAAATGTAAAATTTAGTGACTGTGCCGTGAAGCAAAATCAATGGCTGAAAACATGAAACTTACTTCATCAATGTCATGAGATGGGTTACTCACATTTTCAGGGGAATATTACAACACTGAGAACTATTTAACAAACCACCAAAAATTTGCATTATATTGGAGATGAAGGGCTCTTAATATAAACACAGGCAGCACCTGGGTGAAATATGGGCGTGGTATTAATACTGTATCTTTTAACCATGACTTACCTCACAAAAATAAAGCGAGAACCAAATTATAATATTTTACTTCACTTTTTAGAAAGTTAATCTGTTATGGTTTACATAACAGCAGCAGCTGCAATCAAGTGATATGACAGAACATAAGTGATATAAAGAGCATTGAACACATGAGAGCGTTTTGAAAGCATTGCTTCCTAAACGTGCCTACAGCTGTAATTTTGTGAGTTCTTTCACAAGTAAATTATTTCACAATGTGGTCAATAATACAGTGTAATAAAATGTACTGGAAATCAGCTTCACTTTTACACAAATGCTAAAATGTATCCCACAAACAATCTGTAGATAATTCACCATAATGAATCATTACATTGCTAGGCAATGATTGTGTCATTTCACACCCATGGATTATCATAGGATCAGATACAGTTCGCACGGTATCATACATTACTTGCACTGCAAAATGTGAGATATGGTTTAAACATAGGACTTCCTCAAGTCTATTCAAAGTCCCAAAATACTCTTCATAAGAAGGCATGAAATGAGTAAAGGCTATTCGGCCTCTCAGTCAAGCTCTCTCCACAGACCACACAAAATATATACGGAATTATCATGGATTTCACTCCACCTTGAAGAAACCTCTGCCTAGATAAACTTTTGAAGAGTATGATAGTTAAACTACAGGGAATTGGATTAGACTAATGATCTCCAGTGGATGAACTAGTCATGGGCTGAATTGCTTTCTCCCATTTTGTAATTTCTATGAACCTATATATTCCCCGATCCCTAAAAACAATCAACTACCAAATATAGAATACTCTTCCATCTCCACCATTCAAATCTTGCCTCCTTCCCTCCATAGGTTTGTCTATGATGGTCAATAAATTTATATTACAATAGCAATTGAACTGGAAATGCATTCCCAAATTACTCGCATTAACTTTTATGTACACTTATATACTTATGTTTACCATATAATAACTATAAAATAATATAAACTGCAATCTTCTTCAATTGTGCTTCTTATTTCTTCCCAATCCCAGTCCAAAGTAACATTAAAACAAGAAATAATATCTATTTGCATCTCCTTTCATACCAGGTTTTGTTTGTGGCTCTAACAAGGTTGATTAAAATAAACATCTAGCAACCATAGCAAATATACAGAATTCAGGCACATCATTGTGAAAGCCAGCAGAAATTCCCCTGGTTCCATGCCAATAAAACCAGAAACCCAGGTGAATTCCATCGAACTACAGGGAACTTTCCTGGAATCTATTGATTCTACCAATGTGGTCAGCAGCAAGAAAAAATTCTGAAGTATAGTCAGTGCATAATCTTGTCAATACTGCTTTGTGAATGGTTAACGGAAAAAAGTCTATTTAGTTTCCTTAACAGTATATCCATAAACCACAAAATGCATCACAGCAAATGCTAAATAATGATATTGCTCAGCGCGCATGTGCAAGGGAAGGCCAGATAAAACTGATAATAATAAGAATCCTTGCATTTGACATAGCACCTTATCACATCATCAAGACATATCAAAGTGCTTCACAGGATATACTGTAAAATGGTTTTAATTGTATCTCGTGGGTAAAACATGACAATGTCCCACAAACTGCCATGGAGTGAATGACCAATTGTATTTGGGAGAGTGTTGGCCAAGGTACCAGGAGAAACTTTCTTCTCTTTTCAAATAGTGTCATGAAATCTTTACTGTCTACCTGAACAGACAGACGGGACGGGACCTCTGACAATGCAATCCACCCTCAGCACTGTATTGGAGTGTTATCTTATACTTTATGATTCCAAGTCGTGATGGGAGCTTGAACCCACCACCTTCTAACTCAAGAAGCGAGAGTGGTACCACTGAGGCAAAACAAAACTAAATGGTGCTGTGGGAAGCAGCAACAACAACAAGATTCCATTTATAGAGCGCCGTTCACGTCGGGAGGACGTCCCAAAGCGCTGGACAGTTGGGTCAGGACCCGAGCAGGGGGAAAATGGTCAGGGTGAGGGGAGGAAAGGGAGGGAGTGAGGAAGGGGGGAAATGGTCAGGGTGAGGGGAGGGAAGGGAAGGGAGGGGGCGAGGAGGGCGTAGAGAGTTGAGAGGGGAGCTGAAGGTCTTGAGACCGGCCTTGAAGGAGGAAAGGGAGGAGGCAAGGCGAAGGCACTGGGGATAGAGTTCCAGAGCCTCGGGGCTGAGAGGCTGAAGGCCCGGCCACCGATCGTAGGGCGGTTGGGGCGGGGGATGTGAAGCAGACCGGAGCCAGAGGAACGGAGGGTACGGGCAGGTAGGTAGGGGGATAGTAGGTCGGAGAGGTAGGAGGGAGCAAGGCCGTGAATGGCCTTGTAGAGCAGGAATCCATTTTCAAAGCCTACTCCTGTGGCTCTTCTTTCCTTTACAGATCCATGCAAATTAATTTCACATTCAAAGAGCATGAACAAAAATTATAAATAAAGCAGCCACCCCAGGGAACCTGAAATTTCCCTGCATCTAGCACGAGAGTACTTACTATTCTAAAACCAGGATGATTTCATTGGTTGTTTCATACACCTCATATAAGTCTATTACACGAGGATTTGATTTTGCCACTTCAAGCACAGCAATTTCATGGATGATCTCAGCTTTGCAATCCAAACCACGTCGACGTTTCTTCAAAAACTTGGCTGCATATTCTTTTCCTGTGGCTTTTTCTATGCATTTTTTCACCACAGCAAATTTGCCCCTGAAACACAAGAGTAATTTTTCAAGCTTTTTTTTGCAAAATACTAACACCAATGATTTCTCATTTTATACCAATTTGGATATTTGTCTTGAAACGGGAGAAAAAGTCAGGCCATGTGCTATTAGAGGGAAAGATCACAGAAGCAGACATTTCTGGGGGCGGGGGGGAGAAAGATATCAACCAGTGTTTTGCACCAACACCAAACTGCCGTGACCACCCCTTTGCTTTACATTAGCAAACGCAGTCAGTAGATTAGCAGAACATTTTGAATGTTGGTCACACTAGAAAGATTGTTTTCATACGATAATGCACTTGCAAATTGTTTCTAGCCTATAGCTCTGAAATGCCCAAATGTTGCATATCAAAGTAAATATTTATTTATCCTGAAGTGGTGGGAAGCAAACTATCCAAAGTAGGGCTCTCATGCCAGCTAGCCTGTCAGATGCAATGGTGGTAGAATGGATAGTTCAAGATGTAGAAACTTCTCCTTTGGGGAAGTCAGGCTACCTCATTTCAATTCCGCATCAATACTTTCAGTTCCCCTAATTACACTACCACACAAAAGGAAACAGAAAGCCAGTGCCGTTTCAGTAGAACAAGAACCAAAATCAAACATAACCAGAACAATTCTCCTTGATAAATTTCCTACATTGATGAACTATGCAAGTTTTAACTATAATAAAAGCTTATCACTCCTACAGGAGTATCAAAAACTATTCATAGACTAAATACAAAGCAAAATCTAATTGCACAAAATGCTAGACCCAAATGAATGGCTATAGGTTTAATTTACTTGAATTTTTAAAAAAAAATTTAGCTTACAAAGAATGATGTTTCCAAAGAATTTACAGCACAGAAACAGGCTCCTCGGCCCAACCAGCTGGTGTTTATACCCAACATGAGTCTTCACCATTCCTTATTCCCTCCCATTTCTTTCTATTCCCTTCTCCCTCATATGAAGGTTTAGTTTCCACTTGAATACATCTATACAAACTGATTCAACTACCACTTCAGCTACGGAATTCCATAATCTCACTATCTTCTGCGTAAAGTAATTCCTTCTAAAATATTTTTAAGATACCCGAGTTGCTATTTGTTACCTTATTCCCTGGTTACCTTATCGCTGTAATCTGCCAGCCATTGTATCATTCTCATAAATCTGTGCTGTACTCTTGCCATTGTTATATCCTTCTTAACAGTATGGGGACTAGAATTGGACACAATACTACAAATATGGCCAAACCAAGATTTTGTATAAATTCAACATCACCTCTTCACCTATATATTCTGAGGTCTGGGAACAAGTCATTTGAGACGCAAGAGGTGTGTAGCCTAATACAGTACATATAAAAGGGATCTGGGAAAGATTTTATAACCCGATTTAAAAAAACTGATTATTTTAATCATGATATACAAGGATATACTATGAACCTTTGGCTTGCACTCATATCCATAATGACAGCTTATCTGTAAAGCTTTGTGACGACTAGCATTATTACATTACCCATCAACTATCAAATGGATTTGTTGACAAAAGCAAATCCTCAGAGCATGAACTTATAATACTCAGCAAATAGCAGGGGTGTGTGAGGATTCTTCTGAGGTCAACTCTCTGAAAAACTCGACCACTTGTCACAGGTATTATCTTCCTCATTGTATCCATTTTGTTCAAGTCCAAATACAATGAGAAAATACCATCATCTTACTCATCTCATCGGGATAACACACCAGGGGCAGGCAATGTTATTGGTTTGCATGCATCCCTACATGTAGGTTCTCAATGTGAACTGAATGTTATTTGTTGACTTACGAAAGCAGCAGAGATCTGACTGAATATAAAAATAAAAAATAGTTCCAAACCAATCCTGAAAGAAAATTGAGGAAGAGGAAGGCAACTCTAACTACTCTGATTCATTTCACAAAATTACATCAGCATTGGAGTCATGATTTGTACTTCTTACTCCACCACAGTGAAATATTAAGTTGTCATTTCCCACAAGTTTAAACTGCTTACAACTTGTTTTCAAAAAGAAGCAGTAGCAAAATGTACCAGTCCAACTCAATCTGGAACATTTTAAAATGGGCTATTAATCTGTCATTTTTTAAAGAAGTTATTCTTTGCACAATGGTTGAATGACAGCACATGAAAAGTTGGAAACGTTACAGCCCAAACCTCAGTAAGTTTTGGCACTCTCATCCAGGCTTCCCCAGAGCCATAAAACCAGGTAGAGGTTTATTCAAACTGTAGTCAAACTAAGGGACTTTTTTTAATGTTATGTTGGCAACCAAATGTAATATTAACAGTTCTTTTGTCTTGCTCCCTTCCTCCTTTAAAGCACATCTCAAGACCCTGCTCTTCGACTGTTCATTCTGCCACCCAGCCACCTATCCCTATCCTCCACCACCCCTGATCCCAACACCCTGCTCCTGTCCAAATCCCTGACTATCCAGTGCCTTGAGACTTCTTCCCGACTTGAAAGGCACTTTACAAATCTAATTTGTTGCTTACAAAAGTAGGGCAGTGCATCATGCTCCCTTTTTTGCACACTCCTAAAAGCCATAGCACGCATTGATTTTATGTTGTTCTTTGCAGGTATATGCTGTTTATACGATTGCAAAGTAAAAAAAATTGTCGGCATATCAAGTTATGTAGCTTTAGATCCCAGAAATCAATTAAGAGTCCTGCAGCAATTTTCTTCCCTGTGCATAACCCATTCCCATTCATGGGTCTCTGTCAAAGTTATTGTAACAGAACTCAGAACTCTGCAGCTCGTGTCCTCTCCCACACTAGGCTCCGTGAACCCATCACACCCATCCTTGTCCGACTCCACTGGCTCCCCATGCCCCAGAGGGCAAAGTCAAAACCCTCATTCGTGCTTTCAAAGTGCTCCACAGCCTTGCTCCTCCCTACCTCAGTGACCTGCTAACTCCATACCGACCTGTCCACTTGGCCTGCTTCACGTCCCCGACCTGCCCGGCCCGCCTTCGGCAGTCAAGCCTTCAGCCTTTCCGCCCCCAACCTTTGGAATTCCATCCCGCAGTCCCTTTGCCTCGCCTCCTTCAAGGCCCGTCTCAAGACCTTTCTCCGCGCCTTCAGTCACCCTCCTAACCCCCTAACTCTTCACGCCTCCACCCCTTCTGATGCCAATGGGTGACAAATCCAGCGCCTTGGGACATCCTCCCGACGCGAAAGGCCCTATACAAGTGCAGTTTGTTGTTGTTGTTGTTTGTTGTTGCTGCTGTTGTTACAGAGCATTAGGAAAGGCGAATGATCTGCTTCGAGAGTTGTCCCTCTGGAAAACTGTGGATGCAAAAACACTCCCAACAGACGCTCTGTGCCACTGCACCTACTCGACAGACTACGGATGACGGGGGTGTGGGGGTGGGGGGGGGGGGGGAATAACCCATCTCGAAACAGAGAACACTTTTATTTTAGAAATCCAGCTCTGGGCCACTGTGTAGCTTTAAAAAAAAATCTCGCTTCTTTTAGCAGTGGCAAACTGGTGTTGACCTTGAAAGCAATCGGTTGGGTTGAACAGCAACGCCTCGCACCTCTCTCCCTCCCTCCCTCCCTCCCACCCATCCGCCGCCCCCTTTCATCCCACAATCGCAGTAGTTAATCATTCCGTCACAAGTGCCATTAAAGTTGCAGTCGACTCGAGAGAATTTTGCGGAGACCAGAACTAACTTAACAAACATGTCACAAAATGGTAGAAAAAGTAAAACTACACTCCTTCTCCCCCCCCCCACTATCCCATCTCCCTTGTTAAACCATTGACTCCGCAATCTTTTACCCCCTCCACACACAAAAAAAAACTTGCCTCGGGTGACGGGTCAAATGGCAATACGACGAGAGCAAAAAAAAACAGTCCAAAAAAAATGATAACGACCTGACTTTTTAAAGTTTTTTTTTTTGGGGGGGGGGGGGGGTGGGGGGGGTTGTTCGAGCGGGTTTGCTTTTTTTTTCCCCTCCTCTCTCTCTCTCTCCCTCTCTCCGCAACAGCCTTACCTGCCCAGTTCTTTGGCCAACACCGTGTATTTGTGATGGAAGGAGTCCGGCGTGAAAGGCGTCTGGATGCGAGTGAACAAGACGGGCTGTTTGTCCCTCTCCGCCATCCTCCGGCACCGACTCTCACACATGTTGTCTCTCTCTCTCTCTCTCCTCCTTCTCCTCCTCTTCCTCTCTCTCTCTCTCCCCCCTTCCTCTTCTCGTCCTTTCTTCTCCCCTTTTCCTCGCCTCAGGTCGCCTCGCCTCCCCCCCCACCCCACAGACAGACAGAGAGAGAGAGAGAGAGAGCGCGCACCACCACCACCACCTCCTCTCGGTTTGAAAACCAGTCACCAACCGTCCCGACACCTGCACGAGCCGCCGCCGCCGCCGCCGTCTCCTTGGCGCACGCGGCGCCCAACTGTGAGGAGGAGGAGGAGGAGGAGCGCGAGCGGCCGCCAGAGGCCGTTCAACTGAATCCTGTAACGGCTCCTCTCGCGCGGGGACCCTTCGGTAACGGCTCCTCTCGCCTTCTCTCTCTCTCTCTCGGGGCCACAGTAAGTAGCTCTATTTCTTTCTTTTTTTTTCTTTCTTTTTCTTTCTTTCTCCCCGAGCGGCGCGAAGACTCGATCACTTGATTTCTCCTCTTCCCCTGAAGCGCCTGTGGTGCTCTGACTGACTGACTGACCGACTCTCACTCGCTCACTCACTCACTCTTGACTGGTTTTCAAACTCAAGTCACCGGCCGCTGGCTCAGTGCCCAACCAATGGAGAGAGAAACTGTGTGTGTGTGTGTGTCTGGAGGGAGTGACAGTGTGTGTGTGTGTGTGAAGAGAGTGAGTGGCAGTGTGTGTGTGAGGAGAGTGAGTGGCAGTGTGTGTGTGAGGAGAGTGAGTGGCAGAGTGTGTGTGAGGAGAGTGAGTGACAGTGTGTGTGTGTGTGAGGAGAGTGAGTGGCAGTGTGTGTGTGAGGAGAGTGAGTGACAGTGTGTGTGTGTGTGTGTGAGGAGAGTGAGTGGCTCTGTGTGTGTGTGAGGAGAGAGAGTGGCAGAGTGTGTGTGAAGAGAGTGAGTGGCAGTGTGTGTGTGTGAGGAGAGTGAGTGGCAGAGTGTGTGTGAGGAGAGTGAGTGGCAGAGTGTGTGTGAGGAGTGAGTGGCAGTGTGTGTGTGAGGAGAGTGAGTGGCAGAGTGTGTGTGAAGAGAGTGAGTGGCAGTGTGTGTGTGAGGAGAGTGAGTGGCAGTGTGTGTGAGGAGAGTGAGTGGCAGTGTGTGTGTGAGGAGAGTGAGTGGCAGTGTGTGTGTGTGTGTGTGTGAGGAGAGTGAGTGGCAGTGTGTGTGTGTGAGGAGAGTGAGTGGCTGTGTGTGTGTGTGTGTGTGTGAGGAGTGAGTGGCAGTGTGTGTGTGAGGAGAGTGAGTGGCAGTGTGTGTGAGGAGAGTGAGTGGCAGAGTGTGTGTGTGTGAGGAGAGTGAGTGGCAGTGTGTGTGTGAGGAGAGTGAGTGGCAGTGTGTGTGTGAGGAGAGTGAGTGGCAGTGTGTGTGTGTGAGGAGAGTGAGTGGCAGTGTGTGTGTGTGTGAGGAGAGTGAGTGGCAGTGTGTGTGTGTGAGAAGAGTGAGTGGCAGTGTGTGTGAGGAGAGTGAGTGGCAGTGTGTGTGAGGAGAGAGAGTGGCAGTGTGTGTGCGTGAGGAGAGTGCGTCTCTCTCCACCAGTAGAGAGGAAGAGAGGTGATTCAACAATAACAACAAAATTACAATTGTATAGCGCCTTTCACGTCGGTAGGATGTCCCAAGGCGCTGGGCAGTCAGGGTTTCGGACCCGAGCTGGGGGTCGGAATGGTGGAGGGCAAGGGGGAAGCAGGGTGATCGAGGGTGAAGGGCAAGGGGGAAACAGGGTGATCGAGGGTGAAGGGCAGGGGGGAAGCAGGGTGGTTGAGAGTGGAGGGTAGGGGTAGAGGGCAGGGTGATCGAAAGTGCGGTCGAAGGGGAGGGTCTTGAGATGGGTCCTGAAGGAGGCAAGGGAGGCGGAGGGACTGCGGGATGGAGTTCCAGAGCGTAGGGTCAGAGTGGCAGAAGGCCCGCCCGCCAATAGTGGGGCGAGCGAGGCGGAGGATGTGAAGCAGGCCGGATCTTGCTGAGCGGAGGGAACGAGCAGACTCAAGGTGCAGATAAAAAGGTAGGATGCAAGGTGGAGGGATTTGGGGAGAGAGTTCCAGAAAATGGGACAAAATGGCTTAAAAGCATAGCTGCTGATGAGAGCATCGGGACGTGAAGTAAGCTTACCAGAGCAAAGTGGGTGGGCAGGGAAATAGGAGAACAACAGATCAGAAAGAAGGTAGGGCGTGGGAGGCATCTGAACATTTTGAATAGAGTAGATGGAGCCCGGCAAGGATGAACTATAGAGTTCTGGATGCTCTGGAGCTTATGGAGGGTAGAGCTAAGAAAGCTGGTGAGCAGAGCAATGGATAAATTGTGTTGAGGTGGCAGGAGAGTAGATGAGGGTATCAGCTGCATTGGAGGTGAGCTGGATTCAGAGGTGGAAATTGTTACAGAGATGGAAAAAGCGTACTTGTTTGAGAACCAGAATAAAAGCTGAAGACTTGAGGGCTGAACAAAGCCCAGGATTGCACACTGGCTCCATGAGCTGACGTGAGCAACTGGGTAGGTTGATCTATGATTAAAGGGGATGGGGAGGGGGTAGGAAAGTAACCACATTGATTGTTCAATCATTCTATATTGTAACAGCATCATATGTTCTATTATTCTCTGCGTGACTGGAGAAATGGATGAAGTACATTTGTATTAGGCTTTCAGTTAATGAGATGCGTGCAATCAGATAATGTGAATAACTGTAAATTAAATTTGGACCAGCCACAACGATGTCAATGTCTATACTCACTTGCATTGTTGATTTTGAAATTCCAGTAGTAGCGGGTGACCAAAAAGTTGTGATACCATTACAGAACTTGTGAGGAAAGTGTAAGGGCTCGCAAAAAACTGAGATGTTTTCAGAATTATAAATGGTGATTAACTAGGTTGAATGTGAAGGGCCAGGAAATACTACTTTAGGCATTCTAATCTGTAACTGGAATGAGTTACCAGGAAAGATGGTTGAAGCCACAACACAATTCACTTAAGAAACAGCTTGATTCTGTAATAGAAAGACAGGAAGATTGTCATTCTAAAAAGATGAAATCAAATGAGCCAAAGGGTTTTCTTAAATGAATTTTTTGTGAAATGAGAATAGTAAAATTCTAGTCTTTTTGCATTCATTATTGATCATTTCTAACAGCCATTCTAAAGTACAGATGCGTATGGAGTAGGTCAGTCATTGCACTCAATTGTGAGCTTTAATTTTACTGCAGTGAATTATTAGAACAGGCAATTTTATCAACAGATTCTATTAGTATAATTGTGCAATAATAACAAAAAGGGTTCAGATACAAATGCACAGATAAACTTACTGAAAGGCAATTCCAGTACACACACTGAACAAACTGGTGGAATTAAATGTTGAAATGTATTTTTTTTAAAAATTAAATTTTAGTTTTCACATCTATTCCTGTTTCTATGAATCTTTATTTTGAATTTTTTTAATAATGCAGCATGGTTTTTAAATAAAATATATACATCATTACGAAAATAAAACAAATAAATTCATATTTTGGTACTTTAAAAACTTTCTTTCCATTAAATCATAGTTGACATATGTGTGACAGTAATATTAAATATTTTCAGCATAGTTAAGAGCATTCTTGTACATTTTTCTGCACGATTCCAATGGACTGATTTAATTGGTGACATGAAACAATTGTGAATAGGGCTGTAAAACATTTCCATTATTATGTGTCAGATTAGCCATAATGGTTATATACTTATTTGCAATGTGAACCGTCAGTTTCAAACACAAATTGAACTTTAAAAGTAAACTGGATGAGAAAAGGGAACAAAGATGTGATAATTTGTCATACTAAGACCTTTCTTGCATTTAAAGGAAGTCAGCATCGTCATAACATCCTTTGTGAATATTTCAGTACTAATCCATTCTACAAAATAGATACATATATTGCATACATTGTGGAACGTCAAAAAAAGTCTGAACAAAAAAAAGTGGTTGCACAAAAATAGAAACTTTTATATTTCTCACGCTCCATAGTTTCAAAATGTGCTATGGGGATGGTTGGATAATACAATTGCAAAGGATTTGAAACTTGTGTGTAGAAGAGCTGAGTTTGGATCCAGTCAACATTTGCAAACAGAAGAGATAATTTTAAACAAAACTCAATCTTTTGGACAAGAATCCAAATTTCACATCAGTTAATTTTATTGCTCAAAGTACAGACTTTGAGTTGCAGTGCTAATAAGAAAAGCACACGATTAAGCAGATACAACTGCTCCTATGTTTTGATTTTTAGCTGGGTATTGTTAATCTGAAGCACTGCACTTGTACTGAGAACACTGACATATCCCTTAGCCTGGTGAAAGCAACACAAAAACAGACTTTCAAAATGTTGCATGGGCAGGGAACACTGAATAACAGAACATTTTCATCCACAATATAATTTTGCTTTTAGCTTCTAAATTAATATTTTCTTTCATTAAATTAATTCCCATTATTGTTCACTGAGAACTTATGGTAAAAGTCAAAATGTCCACTTAAACAATGTGAAAAAAATTCTTTGAAAACATTCTGTTCAGCAGGGGTTTGCATCCCTATTTTTTTCATATGAGAAATATATTAAGAGTTAAAACAATAGTGTTTCATTTGCATAGAGCAGATATGTCTGTTCTACCAGGGTTTGTCGATTCTACCTTGTTAAAGGTGCATTTAATTTCATAAGTCAAGACATAGTTATAATCTTTTCAGTTTTGTGTGCAGTCCTAGTGCTTGAAGGCATAACATTACTGGAGGAGAGATGAAAATTACTTATATAATTCTGCCTATGATTATAACTCGTACCTACTTTATGTGAATGGTGCAATTTCTTTTGAACACATTTTATACCCTTTACTTTGGTACATTCAGTGCATTTTTTTTCTGTTTTTTTTCTTTCTTTGAAAAGTTTGTTTTTGTACAAAATAAAAAAAGGCATTGATTTTCCTAGTGCCTGCAGCAGATAACCTAAACAAATATGCTTGGAACAAGCACAAGGTGTGAACTGCCAGATATCTCCCTCAACTCCAGTATATTTTTTAAGATTATATAGGACTAGTTGTTCAGAACCTATAAAAAATTAAATAAAAATTAACTGAACTATATACTCAGTTGGCAGTATGCCAAGATGACAATGAAGCTGCAATGTGCACCAATTGTGGACATTATCATTCTGTGTTTGTATACCATGCATTGCCAGGTATATTAAAAAAAATGCCACTTTATTCATCATCATGTTTTTGACCTACTTGGAGCTTTGGAAAGCTATAGGCATACCATTGAGTTAATTTCTTTTTAAAAACATACTTACCTGTTTACTTTATGAAGCAAGTCTCATGAAAAATTCAATGTCATCCATTTTCATAACACTTTCAGTCATTCCAAAGTAGCATTGGCATGCCTCTGACCAAGCCTTAGTCATTCTGAATTACTCTTCTTTACAAAAGATGTAACCTAAACATACTGAGTTTTCTTATGCTTGACAGAAGTAGTCAAATACTATATTATGAGGTGACCAGTGTGCAAGGAATTAATTTCATCCCTCTCATACCAAGCACATCATTCACCAGAATATCATATAATTGTCTGCGTTGAGCAATTTTCTGGCTTTGTCCTTTGCATGCATTACCATCTTTTCAGTCAAATCGTATAGCTCCATAAGCTCAGTAATTCTGCAAGGATCCCACCATATTGAGTCTGCTGCAAACACACTCTCCCTTTCTTGGAGTCTTGTGGCAAAAGTCCAGTGGGATAATGAGATGCTTACACCTTAGCGCATCTGATTACTCTAGTCCAAAAGTACTCGTCTCTTCTACCGCAGTCAACATCTTCTCGTACAGCATGGAAAAGGATGGATATGGAGGAAGATCCAGTCGATTAAAACAGGTATGAGCTCTAAAAAAAGAGAAATGTTCCTGTCACTATGTCCTGCAATCATATAATACACATTGCTAACCTTTGAAAAAGTAATGTTGAGAGAAAAGAGATTATTGTTTGATATGCACAAACCTATCTCATAATTCAGATATGTCGGCAGCTCTCATTTCCTCTTATACTGTACTCTGGATTTTTTTTCACAAATGAACATTGCTGTGAATCTACCAGATGGATAAACTTGAACATTTTCTATTAATGATCTTGGATGATGGACAAACAAATCATATCTCAAGAAAACAACACAAAACAAGAGACCATTCAAATGAATAAACCTGTTGCTTGTGTAGACTGCCAAAACCCTAACTTTATTTTGAACTCAATAATGCTTGAAATAATTTTGGGGCGTAAAGATTTTTGCTGTATTTTTAAATCACTTTAATGCCCGAGTAAAAGTTGTGTAGACATATTCTCCAAAGTTAACATTAGAATAATCCTTCATTCTCACTATTCAAACCTGGCCACCTTTCTCCTACATGGTTTCAAACATGTTACTTTGGCCTCTTAAACATAGACAGTGTCGATCCCAAAGAACTAACAATTTCCTTTTTTTTAAAAAGTACAACATATTGTACACTGTAAAGCTCAGTGAGTCACTATTAACCTCAGAAGCAAACAGGGAAGCCCTCACAAAGAATGAGAAAGTCCAAAGTGGGAAATACTGTAGTTTTGACAGATGGAATATATTTTTTTTGGCATGGAGTGAAGGCTATGAAGAGTGAGAAGTATAGCCCCCACTATGTCCACATTACCATGTTGCTAAAAATGCACCATGTCATCATGCCCAAAAATGTATTTAAAAATACATCTTAAATGTTCATATCCTAAATTGATTTCAATCATTATCTAATGATTTTCTTCATTTTTCTACTCATGGCAGTGATTAGTTTGAATTTGAATTTGAATAACTGACCTAAATCCTTTTGCAAGCTTGTCTCATTTTGCAAGATGGAAACAATAATGGTTGAAACACTAATTCATTCAATGCTTTCTTTTATTTCACAGTGGCTGTTCTACAATTATTAACAATCTTTACAACTATAACTCTGCTCCCTTGTCCTGCTACCTTAACATACATGATATCATTGATTGTGTTTACTTTATCCCATTAAACATTTTGTTAACTGCTTAAGATTCCCTTTGACATATTTCTTCTTATGTTTTAATTCAGAATGCAGAATATTTTTAGGAAATATGCTGAATGACTATAAAAAACTTGTAAATTTCCTGGATAATTGTACTATTGGAAGCTAAACCACTACTAGTTCCAGCACCGTAAAATAATCCTGGAAGCTTGAAATGTGATATAATAAGGTGTCAGCCTCATTCAATTAGTAGCACCCTTGTCTCTGGGTCAGACTGCCAGTTCAAACTTCACTTTGGAGACTTTAAACTCACAGTCTAGGCTGACACTGGTGTGTTACTGGGGGAACAATTGGAGTTGCTGAACTTCGGATAAATGTTAAGGTCCTGTCTACCTGTTCAAATGGGCATTAAACATCCCATGGTACAATTCAAAAAGAGAAGGGAGTTTCTCACGGTTTCGTGACCAACAATCCCCCAGATAAAATTGGTCATTCACTTAATAGCTGTGTGCGGGAAATTCCTGTGTCCAGATTGGCTGCCATGTTTGCCTACAAAATATCCTGTCACTACACTTTACAGTGAATACTGCAAAATGCTTTGAGACATAAAAAGCACTATGAAAAACAAATCCAAAGATTATTATCTATTCTACACAATTAGCAATTAACTTTGTCACACAAGATACCCCTTTATTTGAATTGCACTTAGAACTTGCCTCTTCTACCCAGTGGTTTGCAGGTCAGATTTCCTAATGACATTCACAGAAATGTGCTCAATTAAGGTACAGTGTGCTGCATCAAAATTGACTATTCACAAATATTATATTTCCCACAAATGCTATGCCTCTATCTTATATTTTATCTAACCCTTAGAGCCATTCCAGTCTAATTAATTGTTAATGTGTGTTATTTAATACCTGTATTGCTGTCTTGAAATGGTTTTGCGTCAAAGTCATGTGCTTCATGTTGTCTATTTTTCATCAAAACTACTGACCTAGCTTGACCTACAGCCTGCAGGTCCTTTGGTAATCATCCTTATCCTGAGAAATGCTAACAGCGTTAGAGATTTCCTCTCCGAAGAGGAGGAATTTCAGATTGTATTGGGATTGAAGGATACAAGATGTGCTGGAAAAATTAATCTAAGTGACTGATTGAATCACAATAGTATTTATCTAACTATTTACTCTTTAGTCACTCTTTACAAAAGTCACTCTTTACAGAAATAGAATATTTATACCTGGGAAGTGATGTGATTTTGCCCCATTTTTCAATACAAAACCTTCTGGGCCCATTACTGCCTCGCAGAGATGCAAAACCTTCATAGGGTATACTTGATGTACCTGTTACAAACTAACACAAACAAAAACAATCATGAGGTCATTAATGTGAAAGATAGATGTAGCTTATCTCTATTTAGTACAGTAAATCATGGAGGTAATAATTTTTGTTGTACCTGTAGCAACCTCAGTCTCTGCTCATTATTGAACCTTTCCACCGCAGCCCAAAACCACCTGATGACAATGTGGTTGTCATGATAACCTTTGGGGAAGAAAGTGAATGTTTATAAGATGCTACATAAGATGGTACGGTGGAGTGATTGGGGAATGGAATTCCAGAGGTTGGGGGCAGAGTGGCTGAAGGCTCTCCTGCCAATGGTGGGGCGGGTGGGTCGTGGGACGTGGAGCAGATCGGAGCCGGCTGAGCGGAGGGAGCGAGCGGGTTGGTAGTGGATTAGGAGGTCGCAGAGTTAGGGTGGGGCGAGGACATGGAGGGCTTTGTATGTGAGGACCAGGATCTTGAACTGGATCCTCTGAAGGATAGGGAACTAATGGAGTCGGGCGAGAGTGGGGTAGATGGGGTCACGGGAGAGGACACAGGCTGCAGGTTTCTGGATTATCTGCAGTCTGTGGAGGGAGGAGTTGAGAAGGCCGACAAGCAGGGTGTTTGCATAGTCGAGCCTGGAGGTGATGAAGGCATGAACAAGTTTCAGTGGCCTGAGGAGTGAGGTAGTGGCGGAATCGGGCGATGTTACAGAGGTGAGGGAAGGCAGAGTGGGTCATCGCTTGGATGGGGGGAAGAAAAGGCAGTTGAGGGTCTAACAAGACACCAAGGTTCCTGTCTGGCTTGGTGAGTTGTAGTGTGTAACCATGGAGGTTGATGTTACCAGAGCCTGAGGTGCTGGCGTGAGCCAATCAGGAGGGCCTCAGTCTTGTTCACATTCAACTGTAGGAAATTTGCCCTCATCCAGGACTTGATGTCTGACAGGCAGTCTGTCAGGACAGCAGTGATCCGGGAGTTGAGGGTGGAGGCAGAAAGATAGAGTTGGGTGTCATCCGTATACATATGGAAGTTGACCCTGTGTCTGTGGATGATGTTACCAAGGGGGAACATGTAGATATTAAACAGGAGAGGGCCAAGGACAGAGCCCTGGGGGACACCAGACACGACAGTGCGGGGGCTGAAGGAGAAATCGTTAGAGGCAACAAAGTGGAGACGGTGAGAGGGATAGGAATCAAACCAGGCACGGAAAGATCCGAAGCAGTAGTCTTGGTGTGGTGACTTTGGGCAGTAAAATAATGATGCTTCCAAAATCCCAGGATTCATTGAAGAGAAACTGCAGGCGGTAAGGTAAGAATTGGGATGCCAGGATTTGGAGCATTAAAATCCCGGCATTCTGAAAAAGCACCAGGATTGTAAATCTCATCTTAAACTGCTACATTTAGTAAAATAATTTAAATGATTTCACCTCCTCTGTATTCCGTGTTGTTTCTCCAATCACTTATATCAATCTCTGCTGTGCCAGCGATAACCAATTCTAATTCTCGTGCATCAAACACTGATACAAGCCGAGCATCCACCACCTACAAGAAAAATAAACCATTACACAAAGCATAAGAGCATTTTTATGCAATGTTCCAAAATCAAAATGCGATATTTGCTAACAATTGCAAACATTGTTGACATGACAACTTTTAGTTTACATTAGAATACACAGCACAAAAACAGGCCATTCGGCCCAACTGGTCTATTGCCAGTGTTTATGCTCCACATGAGCCTCCTCCTGTCCTTCCTCAACTAAGCCTTCAAGCATAACCTTCTATTCCTTTCTCCCTCATGTAGCTATCCAGCTTTCCCTTAAATACATCTATACAATTTGCCTCAACAACTCCTTGTGGTGGCATGTTCCACATTCCCACTACTATCTGTGTGAAGAAATTTCTTCTAACTTCCCCTTTTGATCTATTTGTGACTATTTAATATTGATGGCCCCTGGTTTTGGTCGCCCCTACAAGTGGAAACATCTTCCCTATGTCTACCCTATAAAAACCTTTCATCATTTTAAAAACCTGTGTGTGTGTGGGGGGGAGGGGAAAGGCATGGTCCAATGGCACAAAAAAAATAGGCTTCACAAGTTCATTAAACAATCAAAATCACAGCGTTCTACAATAACGAGCAGATTGACATCAGTTGTATTCTCATAAGGGTCCTTACCTCATAGAACCCCCGAACTAAGCTTTCAGTCTGCTGTACAACACCTCTCTCAATGCGCCATTTTACCATCCTTTCGATGTATTCTTTCTTGTTTTTTTCTGTGACAGGAATGTTGGCTCCCCCTGGCTTCAACTCCCTCTCTGTAATCTGTTTCAAAGAAATAAGCAGTCATTTCTACCTTTGGAATAACTGAAGAGTCACTTGTACACTTGTAATCTTATTGGAGCCACTAAATTCCCCCGCCCACCCACGAAATTATACTTTCTATAGCTTTCATGAGGTGCGTTCATGTTAGCAATAGTGAACAAATGTGCCCATTGGAAGACTTTTAAGACACAATAGGTTGTACATCCGTAGCAAAGAGCTACATATTATTGGGATCACTATTGTTGGAAAATAGAAGATGTAATATTGTTCATTAAAATGTCCCAAATAAAATGTTGACAATTTCAGAAAAATTTATATAAATAATAACACTTCAGGTCTTTGGTCATGAAATCTGAAGTTTATTTTAATTAATAAGATTCACTAAGATTTTAATGTTGCCCTGCTTAATTTGTCTTTGCTTTTAGACACATTTGTTTTTAGTATAACAAGCAACAAATATTAAAATATTAAAATTCCATAATTGTAATATTCTCAAATATGTTGCTTACTATTCAATAATTCTTGAACAAATAAAATTATAAACACAACTAACAAAAAGAGGTTGCTTGCAAAAGCTATTTCATGTGTATCAATTTTATTTTTAAAAAAGGAAACATTACTGCCAACGTGAATAAATAATCGGTACAAATACACACACTGGAGAACAGTGTTTGCACTTTATACTAATATACATACCACAAATTTAAACATAACTATGTGTGTGTATTTTATTTTGTGACCATTAATGATAATTTTAATCTGCAGAGTATTTCATAAATTCAAAAATCAGAATTAACCAGACCAGAAGGTTGCAAGTAATAATTTCGGTCTGCACTAAATTAGCTGATATCAGTCTGGACACTAGAGTTATTTTCAGTGCCCTAAGGGTTAGGGAAATAAACAATAAACCTGGTTTCTCATTACTGATTAAGTATCTAGACATCACAGGTGAAAGAGGCTTGAAAAAATAAAAAGTCAAACCCCTTCTGGAGTGGAGGGCGAAAATTGGCAAGGGGGATAAGAATTTTTTACATGTATGAAATAACACGCAGCCATCAGTTGCAGCAGGCTTCAGTTAAATACGTGTATTAGTGTTTGCAAGTGAAAAAAACCTCACAATCCGCAGCAAGTTTGTGGATTCTTTTTTACTCATATGAAGGATCACTATAACTCACTTCTGTCCACAAGGCAAGCAAGTTATGTGTCTTTCACACTTGTAAAAGTCCCATTACTCATTGTCAAAAGCGAAAGATCCTCACAGGAATGAATAAATATTACAACTGTGAAGCAATCACTTAGATACAAGTTTGACAGCACTAAGAGAGAGATGCAAATGAACCAAACTGCTGAGGTCACCACTAGGAATTCTCTAATTTAATGCAGGATTGGACAGGCGACCTTTTAGTTCACTGAACAAATGTACATTCTATGAGAATTCTTAATTTATATTATACGATTATCCCAATTATTCCCAAATGCTGTGTAACCTAAATATTCCCCAAACAGTCATAAACCACAACATAATTTTACTAAGAATATTAATACTGCTATTTATTTAATAGCAGTATTAATATTCTAGCCGGTTTTGCATCAACTGAGGAAACAAAACCATTTAGCATTTCAAAAGAAATCAAGTAATTTCTATAATTGAGAACTGAAACAATCACTTCTATATTTCCTAAAGCAAGATCCATTTTATCTTATCAGCACCTCACATTGGGGGTTATTCTATTCCATTCCATTCAATGTTGTGAATTCATTCATGTGGGCTAACTGCTATTCTCCATTTAGTCAGTTCAAGCATGTTGGTCACCGTGCGCTCAGAAATAACTGCATAGAAATAAATACACATACGTATAATTAGATTTGTAATGGAATATTTAATTTTAAAATTGAATTCCAGTTATTTATAAGTGCACAGTAATAAATTTGCAAAGAAATTCACTAATCTTAGCAAATGGATGAGCATAGCACTTTGGCCCAGTTAAAAGAATTTGTTACATTAAGGGAACAGAGCTGAATAACCCTCATTATTGTTACGTAGGTGAGAGGAGCTCTAGTGGTTTGTCATCTTGCTATTTATTACTGTTGGCATAATGTGACAAGGTTTTAAATCAAACTATACATATTTCAGTTTTTCTTTGATAAGTCGTTTCAATTTCCATTTTAGTAGAAATCATAACATGTTCTTGGTACATGCTTGCACAGTTCATTCTTATGGTTTAAGTGTCCAAATATATTTCACATAAAATGGTCCTTAACAGGGAAAGGATGTAATAAGGGAATGTTTATAAGAACAAAATAAAACATACGCCAGGGTTAAAAGATTATTTTAATTAATGGATTTGAAACGCAATGCTTTTCAAATCTTTGTCTGAACATATATGCCTTGTAATGCGGAAATATTATGCATGGTAAATTACTACATTGTTCCTAAATAATCATCTTCATCTATTACTCAAACCACTGAAAGCAGGACCTCAATCACATTAGCTTTAAGAGCTATTCTGGGTTGGAATCAAGTTGGACTAGGTCACTTAAAAAATAGTCGTTTGACTTTGCATCTGAATACATTAGTGATGTTTTGCCCTACCTCAGTAGTCTGTCTGGGAGAACCAGCTCTATAAACATTGGATCAAGTGAACCCAGACTAGTACAATTCAGCTCATGTCAGACAAACATAGCATTTTTTAAAAAATCAGCAGACAATTAAATAACTTAGATTTGGTAAACAATTCCAAATATTAAAACCTCATAAACAGATATTTCAATATAATGTAAGAAAAATTCTAATGATTTGTTAATCAGTTTAAATTGGTTTAATTTAGTTAATTAGTGTAGATAATTTCCGTCTTTCATCAAAACTATTTTTAATGTTTGCCTACCTATATTTCTTCTTAATATGGATATTGTCAATTCTAGAAATGGGGATATCTATAAAGGCTGCACATATCTGTCTGTCCCTAAATTTGATATGTTTTTGTATAAGTAATTTCCCATGCAGTTTCTTCTAAATAATTCACTTGCTCATCAGTCCTGTGGTTCCTTATTAATGAAACAATATTGAAGTCTGTACAAATTAAGTGTCACACTAAAGATATAACAATTTCAGCAACACCAGACTGAAAGTTTAGCATGTATTGGTACAAATATCACTATGGCTTTCAATTGCAAATGACTCATTTAAACAATAGCATTATAAGATGCTGGGAACACGTTTTTCAATTAAGTAATCTCAATTTCCATAAAATGACAAGGCTGGTACATTGTAAAATTGAGACTGTTGGGAGAACTGGAGTGCTAATTTTAAACAACTGTATGTTAAATATCATGAAAGCTATTCATTTTATACACAAGATCAGAAGCAATTTGGTCTGTATTGTTTAGTTTTAAAGGATTATATCCAATTGGCTTTCCCACAGTGGAATTGTACAAGGATTTGCTGGTGTGAAAGAAGAACATGTAGCATGTATTCAAGAAACAGTTTGAAAATTTCAAACAGGGACCTGGCAACAGAGTTTGTATTGTTTGGCTTTTAGCACCATGCCAATTTTCAGATTGCTAGCTGGAAACTGCCTTCCTTTTGAAAACTAGCAGCCCAACACTATTTTGTTAGCCTTGTGCTTGCTGAACCCTATTTCAAGATCCCCTCAAACACCTCCCATCTAGTTCCAAGATGGCTCCAACCGAGAATCAGATCAATTTGAAGGGAATTCAGAAGACGACAGTTTCTTATAAGATCCTAATTTTACCCACACATAGAAGAAAGCATAGAAGAAAGCTTAAACCATTTAACCCACAAAATGTTGATCATTCAGAAGCTTCACCCAGTTAGCCCACCTGACCAAAGACCTCTTCATTCACAGTAAATGTTAGGTCTAAAATATCATTGATGTCATTGTCTTTCATCCACTGCAGACTCTGGTGAAACTCCTCATCCAGATATTCCAGGTCACTCAGATCACAGGATCTGGCAAGAACAGGCAAACACGTGGGGAATGTCTACTGTTCTGAACAGGTTAATCACACACAGCATCTCTAATAATTAATACCATCAAACTGTTACATAAGTCGGTCACATTTATGCACATGCTGAGGAATTATTCAAACAAAATTTTACAAGGACACGACACAAGACTAAAACATCCATGCAACAAACAGCTCAAAATATCCCCAAATACATTATGACTAATTATAAATGAATTTTCAGATTGATTGAACAAAATAAAAATGAGTTCAGTAGAAATTCAAATATGAAATCTTTCATGCAGTCATTAAAATAATATAACCTTTTGAACAATGAAATCTTCTGTAGGAGTTTTTCATCATAATTTCTTTAAGTGTTTCATGACACATAGCTTTTATAACATTGCTATGATTTGTTTTTCTGAAAGGAGTATCCTTTAAGTTCTTGGGAATATTATAATAATTTCAAGTGACAGCTGTCAAATTATTTGCAGTAGTTTCATGGATAAATTGTATCCTACGTTTCTGTCTGTCAATCAGTATTTCCTTCAAAAGTCAACTATTTGGCTGATTTTGGAATCCTACTTCGTTATTGCAAACCCTCCCAATACACAATATAAACTTGTTCCCTCATCCCAGGAGAATCCACACAAGGTAGGTGGAACTACATTGGTGCTCTTTGATTTTGGTATAATGAAGCTTAACTATAAAGATTTAAATATACATAGGCTGAGTATCTAGTGGGAGGGGAAAGTGCAGACCAGATGAGGGGAGTGGAAGTTGGAAAAGGGATATCTTGGCTACCTAAAATTCAAAACTAACCAAGAGAGAGTATTTCAAGGCAGAGGGACTTCCATTGTTGAATGGCTCTGATACCTTTTAAGAATTCCCCTTCCTCCCCCGCCTTGGCCAACACTATGCAGTCTTTTCGTCAGCTGGTTTTAGAATTTATCCCTTCTCTTTCGATATGAAGTCTGAATGCCATTTCCTGAGCATTTCACTGTTCTTGCCATTGAATGGCATTCACATAAACCTTTTAGGTCAACAAACAGGCGAAGAGAATCGCCTCAGTTGACTTCCCTAAACCACTTATCTTTCAAAAAACTCTTATTTGCACATTATACTGAGGAAAGTTATTAAAGCTGGAAAATTACTGAGTCAACAACAAGTGTCATTGCAAGTAACCCAAAGGCTCACAGGGTGGGAATGTCCTCTTTGCTACTAAGTGCAATGATTTGATAATGTGCACTTGCTATAATGGGTAAACCCTACATTAGTACACATTGTTAAATCACTAAACCTCGTGGCAAGAAGATTTTCTCAGCCAGGAATTCTCCTGCAAAGTGCAATGTAAAAATGTAAATCTTTCCTATGGCTGGTCTCAATCCTGTGAAAATAGTGAAGTAAAGCTACATTATTGTTGAACTCATTAGTGTGGTACCCAAATGCTGCCATGGACTTCACGGACTTCAAGATCGAAATTATGATTACTGTACATAGATGAGAACATGTAGCTTACATCTTTCCTGGCTCATTTAAATGTTGTCAAATTTTGCCTTGTTGCTATATTAGCTCCCTATTTTCACATCATGGTGAAATATCAGGGTTGTTTCATTATTGTGATATTAGCCCTAGCTCACTAAATAAGTACAAAAGTAAAACTTAAAAGTAAAAAAAAATCAAAAACTTCACTTGTTGTCATTTCTTTTAAAGTTCTATTTTCTCTTCTCTCGTCTCTATCCTATTTTTTATTTTGTAGATTCGAAATGGAACATCACAGAAGAAGGCCATTCAATCCACTGATTCTAAATTGGTGTCAACTCCTCTACTGGAGCTCATTACTCTAATCTTAATCCCCTGCTCCCTTGTGTTTCTTACTCTTCAAATGCTTATCCAATTCCCTTTTAATTATTCTGATCTCTGCCTCAAAAGTCACTCTTGTTAAAGGATTTTGTGTTCAACCAAGCCTCTTGCAACAAAACAATTCTTCAAACCTCCCTATTAATTATTCAGTGACAATAAAGAGTTAATGCCCATATGTTATTATAATAATAATAATCCTTGCATTTGATATAGCCCATTATCATGTTGTTGAGATGTCTCAAAGCGCTTCACAGCATATATTGTAAAGTGGATTGACTGTGTATTTTGTGGGTGAGAATATTATGTTACCAATTTAATACCTAGCAGAAATCATTCACTCTTTATCCTCTCCAAACCTTTTATAATTTTGAAAACCTCAAGCAATTATCCTCTTAACGTTCTGTGTTTCAACCAGTCCCAGTTTTTTGAGGTTCTATTGCAATGATTTCCCGCCTACTGTATTTGAACTTTTACGTTAAAACTTCAAAAGCCTCCCATGAACCTTTCTTGTTTCTTTCAGCTTTCCCCATCCATTTTGAAGGTGGGCTGGTTTTGCAAGTGATCACAAAGTAAAAAGATTGCAGACTTACAGGATTGCATTATGGAAGTAGCTGTCAAACCCAAAGTTAAAGCAGATTGTAGGGAGTTACAGGGGTAACTGATTGCAAAATATCTGGGGCACAGATATAAATTTATATCAGCAACAATCTATGAATTAAACTTTCCCACTGGTAAAAGTGAATAAATGTATTTTCTTTTCAGTGATTGTCCACATACAGTCTTATCCACTTATCTCAAACCTGTTTATATTGACATCCCACTTAACTCGGAAAAAAAATTACAGTCCCTTCCCAGAACACACTAAATCTACTGTGAATGTCAACAACAACAACCACTTGCATTTATATAGCGCCCTTCACGCAGGCTAGTGTCCCGGAGCGTTTATCAATGTCAATATAAACTTAAGCATGCTCATGTCGCCAAATTTTTCAAGTCCCTAAAAGCACTACGTACATTGTGTCATTACCGCTTATGTCAACAGGCCCTTATCACTTATGAATGAGTGCGCACAATACAGGAAAGAGTAATTGTACAAAACAATTTCTGTCAAACTCTGGATTTTTCCCTTTTCATACATTTTGCAGTATTTTCTTAGTGGAAAACTAAAGCTGGCATGAGTAAATATTACAAAATATTTGTTTATTAGTTCAATAATTACCTGACAGGGCACCATCATAGAGAGCTAATACCAGCTCAGTAACTGACAAAAAGCATACTAAGTGCCCCACCTACATTAAAGTGTAATAGCATGTTTCATAAGTACAATAATGGAGTGATATCAAGCCTGTGTAACCTAATACTGTGCTTTGGTATAGGCTATAAGCCACTTGAGTTTCCTTTTCACAGTTTATGAAGTCACCCGAACCACTCCACTAGATTGTTGCCTTGTCATGATTTCCCAATATCTATTATTTTCTATTTAATAACTCTCACTGCATGAACTGGTTCAGCGCAGCCCTCATTATAAATCCTGGGAGATCGCATTCAACTTATATCATGATGAACCAACCTGAATGTCATCTGAATGTTGCTGAAAGTATAAATGGAACTAAAGACACAAGGATCTGACCTAATTAAAATATATTTCAGACTTGTTACAATTCTAGTTTTAAAATTGGAGTGCAAATCACTGAAACAGTATAAATCATGCGTGATAAAAGTCGTTTGTTAAAATTATATTCTCTTTTCCAACAGATAGTGTGAATAAATTAACACTTTCATCATACGGGGCAAGAAACAAAAAAAAAGGTTCAAAATTGACAAAGAAAAACAAGGACGGGCGAGTTCATTGACCGAAATAAATTTCAATCACATCATCAAACTAACATCTTCAAAAATCTCATCTTCTCAAAACAGCCGTTGCTGAAATCCCTCATTAAACATCCAATAATCTTTCTACCTGACCTACAATTGCTTCTGAAAATGAAGTGTCAAAAATCTTTCATCATGGTTTAGCTGTTTGCATCCAAGTTATTCAGAGAAGAACGAAAAAGCCTACACACAGAAATAGGACAAAGATTTGAGTGGTGTGTCAATCATCTGAAAGTAATAGGAATTTCAAACCCTTAAACTACCAGCATGATACTTATTTGATACAGTACATTGGTACTAATATTGCCATGTCCACGAGATATTATGTGCATAATAATAATAATAATAATAATACCTCTTGGAGATGGTGAGCATGATTAAATCAGCCAGATCAACACAATAAAATACTCCATTCAATTTCATTCTGAGCAACTAATGTTATTTATATTTAGCAGTGAAACCACCACTCATTGCAAATTAAATTGAATGTATTGAAGGTTTGTGGTTGTTGAATAATGCAGAATTATTTTGGAAAGTTGTTTCCAAAATAATTCTCATCAGAATGCCACAAAACCAATTAAATGACAAAAGTAAACGAGGGAGGGAGACAAAAGAGTATGAGAAAAGGCAGAACAGATTGAGCAGAGATAAGAGACAATCGTGAGGTGCTGAACAAAGACAAAAGATGACGACAATAGGACTCTGGAGAAAGACTACAGAGAGATAATGAAAAAAACAATTTACACTTTTGGCAAAAGCCTAAATTATAGTTCAGATTGTTGCCTTTAAGAATGATTGAATAATTCAAGAGTCAATTAAATAGACAATAATTGGTGACACTTCACATTCCACAGTTAGCGACTCAAACAATACTATGGTTCTGTCCAGAATACATCCACAATTTACAAAATAGATGTATTGATTGCATTTGCTGAAAATTCTAGTTTCCTGAATGATATTAAAGCAAGTTATTGGTACCTGACTGTTATATTCTGACTATAACAAAGCATAACTCACACAACATTACAAGGGAACCCCAGCCATATTGATGGTGAAAGCTGTTCATAAACTAGGAACTTCATGTTCTTAAGAGACACATTCACTTAGTGTGACAACTCAATAGGCCCTGTACATTTTAATCCTTGCATTTGATATCAAACTTTTTATATCATAAGGATGTCTCAAAGAGTGTCACAAATGCTACTGTAAGGTGTAGTTTGTAAGTGAATGTGGCAGACAATTTGCGCACAGCAATGTCCCAGCTATGAA